CCTTGAAAGCAGGATTTGCTCCCTACGACTCGATTAAAAGGTCCTGTAAAGCGACCGTGCTAAGGTTACGGGATAATGGCTTTGTTGCGACCTTGGTTTTATGTAACATAACGCTTTATGGCCGATTTATGGCCTTAAGGCTGGATCATTGATTACCCGTAACTGTCTATTAAAATTCAAAACGGGAACGTGCGTAATTTGCATCGAATTTCCGATTAATTAGAATGTGAATTTAACATTTTCCATTCGATGGAGTTTTGGCTGGATTCGGTTCTAATCAGGGAAAGTGGAAAACCACAAATTTTCAGATTTAAAGCGACGCATTTAAAGTAGCTACAAAAGCTCGGGGAAACGGTTTATGTCGGACGTTATGGCATGATTATGATTTTGCCGCGTTCCATAATCGCGCTTCTTATCCGAAAAATGAGGTATTTCCAAAGTGGCAGTTCAATTGCCTCGAATAGAAATGTCCGCTTTATGTTAATGTAGTGGAGTTGCACGTAAGAAGTACCTCTCAAATAGCTTGCAATAAGCCGAATGGGTTGTAATCCAAATGAACATTAAATGCTGCCTTTATCCTTTCGTAATTTTCCATCTGTTGCACCGAAGGCGTTTAATATCGGCAACATGGATCGCATCAAATTAAAAGCTCAGCTATTTCCCGAAGCAGGAGCTTTTCTGGAAAGCTGGATGATTCAGTTGAGTCGCGGTTAGTTAATTGATAGTCTAACTCGAATGGGTTATTTTACCTCGAGTATCTGATTTTGTCGCTTTGAGGTTTCAATTCAGCTGCTAAGGCGTCTGGATTTGGAGATTAATTACAACTGTTGGATGGAGTATTTATTGTCTTTCGTTCTCTTGCACCTGTTCTTATTGTCGCTTTCTGGTTTTTACTGAAAAGGTTCCTGTTTGCTTCCTACTCGCATTTTATTTTGTTTTCTAGATATAATGCTTCTTCCTTGCTCTTGTCCTAGTTTGGGCCAATGTCGATTTTAGAGAAAGAGACTCGAAGGTTTTTCCGTTTGGTTCAAAGCAAATAGTGTAAAAGTCGCTGCCCACACAACCTCTATCTGAAGGAAGGCACAAAGTGCTTAATTTTCCGTCTACCGACCATCTTTCGTATTTTTATCTTTTATATTTGTTCAACTAGTAAAAATCCCCAGTGGAAACCAGCTCAGTTGTGAGGTTTCATCAAAGCATCGAACTGATTCTTCAACGGCTAATAAATCGTGCGGGAGCATGCAAAAGCTGATGATTTAATGAAAGATTTTAATGACACACGAAATAGTTTGCCTCAATTCTAAGCGCTTGCAATTTGAAAAACTAGTTAAATATCAGCGGTGGATGATGTTGGCTTTCGGCCAGTCAACATTTAAACCAACTTTGTGCGGTTTAATGGGCTGGCGTTTGGCACCGTCTTGGTGTTTTATGAACAAAGTTCTCTCTTTGTATAGGAGTTTTTTCCAAAAATCTTAGTCTCACCTGGTTTTTTAAGCAAGATTCATCCGTTACAGGAGCCTGTTTAGTCGCAGTCCCAAAAAACATTACTTTTCACATAAATGTCATTTTTTTACGAGCATTTGCCTTTATATGCCGTTCCTTTTGGGTTGCGTTACAACCTGATATTAACCGCTATAAGGGCCATTAACGCACCCCAAAACAGGAAAGAATGCAACTATTAAGACACGATTCCAGATATTTCCTGCCGTTCTGGGCCATCATTAGAGCGTGTTATTAAAATTATTAAACTTTATTTATCAATAAACTCAGCCCATTTAAACACTGAGGCTAATGAAAAAATGCCCGCTTTAGTTGATTTTCTGAGACGCTTTCGACTAGCTGAGAGAACGTTTCGAGTTGATTAAATGTCGAGACACGAATGCATAGAACAAGTGACAAGCAATTTAAAATTAATTGATACACGGGAAACACGACGGCATGACAAGATTACAAGACTTTGTAATAGCGGGCAGGTGTCGGAACAGAACAAAGGAATGTCGTCCAAGTAGGAGAGATGAAGAGAAAAACAAATGATGGCCGGACTAGCACAGAGCTCTACTTACACATTTCCCTTCCAAGCACCCAAGTCTCAGGCGGCGAATTGACCTCCACCAGTACGGTTGGTGTGCACACTAGCAACACCATCAAGTCTGCTATGCTAAGGTTCACTAGAAAAATATTGGTGCTGTTTCGCATGTCTTTTGTCTTGAAGATCACTATTGGCACCATCACGTTACCGATCACTCCCAGGCACATGATGAGTACGCAAAATACCTGCAAAAATCACCGCGTCACCACATGGTTTTTATGGGAAATTTTGCCAAAAAATGTTCAGGAAGGAGGACGAAAGTCGGTTTTTTTGCCATGCGAAACGTCGGAAATTTAACTAAACCGACTTTTGTTTCTCACCAATTTTGTTCCCGTTGTAAACCTCTGCCCTTTCAAAAATACCCTGTTTTGTTGTGAAATATTGCAGTTTCCAGGTTGAACTATAAAAATCAGCTAAAAATCTAACAAAATCGCTATTCAAACGCTTCTTGGAGGACTAATGAAACAATATATTCAAGACAGACGATATGAAAGCGAATTTTCTAGAAATCGTCTATTTTGAACGAGCCTATTAGGTTTAAAGTTTAAAATTTGAAAAAAAATTGTTTTAAAGTGATGCTTTGAGGACTAATAGACCAAAACCTTCTCTATCAAACGGCATTTAAGGCACGCTTCTTTGCAATCCGACAAATGTCTTGTTTGGATAGAAAAAATGAAAATTCAACGACAAAATTCGAAATCAAATCTCGAAAAATCTCCCAATTTTGAATTTAAAAAAATTACCAAATGCCTTGTTTGGTTATAACAGATCTTGCGATTTTAACACCAAAGTTTAAAAATTTGTCAGAAATCTCAAAAAATCGCCCTTACAACGATGATCATAAACCCGATATGACAAAGC